AACTTCTTTCTTTACAGATATGAGTGTACCAAATCTCAGAATATGGAGCTGCTTGCGCTGACACCAGTGCTTGGCAGCCGGGCCAGAGCCCGAAAACTCTCAAATTCTACAACCCGTCGCAAATGGCGAAAAAGTCAACCAAGGCGCGTTCCGCCTTAGAACACCGAGAGGGGATCCACCAGCCTTTGCGATCCACTGAACTCGATTAATCGCGTTGGCGCCGCTATATTCGCGCTATTGCACTTTCATAAAGGGGTGCTCTCATCGGGGCCAAACTTTTAATTCAAAATATTCTCCGGATAACCAAAGACTACCTTCTCGTATAATGATACACCCAAATAAAACTAATTGCTGTGTATACTGAGTAGTCTTGCGTTTACACGTGCCACGTAATCAATCTTTTCTGATACTTTGCAGTGAGAGCTGTATATGGCCATGCGAAACGAAGAATCGTTCGCCACTAGAAAAGCTCTCCATTGGCTTCTCTGTTGACTGCACCCAAGTGCTCGCGCGCGATTGGGAGTGCCGTCAGGGACGTCGTTCATTTCTTCGCAAGCATGCTGCTGATCCACGCGCAGTAGGTTCAGCGGAGTGTTTTTGAAAGAGGGAAGAATGAAGAAGAAAAAATGAAGTATTCTTAGTGAATTCTGTGTTCGGCGAACGCTTGTGCCCATAGAGGCAGGGTCGGTCAGAATGGAACCCAATGGGCGCGTATCTTTCCTTGCATTATTGGACGCGCAGCTATTCATAGCAAAGCGCGAGCGCTGCATAATCCGACGCAAGGCGCGACCGGCGTCCGCTGGCGCGCCACGGCGGCCACCTCATGAATACGGCTGCACAGTGATGATGAGGAGAGAAATGAATGTAATAGAGAAGAAGGAGATTATGGAAGAGACGGTAATTTGACCATGCCTGTGCGCACGCGCACGTATTGCCTCCCAGCCAAGGAAAGCCATCCCTATTGGAAAAATTGCCATGGTGGATACTGGAAAACATGGTGGGCGTAGTGGAAATAATGGTCGGCATGGTGGAAATAATAGTGGGCATGGTGGAAATTATGATGGCTATGGTGGGACGTAGTGGAAAATATGGTGGTTATGCCGGGACATACTGGGTGGTATGGTGTACAGATGATGGGTAAAGTGTAAATGATGGTGGAAAGCAGAGGCTAGATAGTGGGCAATAATGGGACACTCTGCCCACCATTGCGATAATGCTGGGAAGCCCTAAGCATATGGTGGGTGGTGCTTATTATGGTGGGCTACATGGTGTACCAAGCTGAGAAACTCTTCCCACCATTGCGATAATGCTGGGAAGCACTAAGCAGATGATGGGTGCTGCTTGTTATGGTGGGCCACATGATGTACCAAGCTGAGAAGCTCTGCCCACCATCGCGATAATGCTGGGAAGCAGTAAGCAGATGATGGGTGGGCTTATAATGGCGGGCAAATTATATAGTGTACCAAGCTGGGATCTGTACACTACATGTTCTACCATCATGATTTCCACCAAAGGTTAGGCCTACTGACCGAGCCCGTACAATTGTGTTATCCGTGCTTCCGGGTTTCAGAATACACGATTACGACGATTAAGTATGACAATACAGCGCAGCCATATGGCATCAATTAACCTAAATGAAGCATTTTTCATTGTGTATGGTATTCGCTCAAGAAGCAACAAACATCGATGTGACGCGATTAAAGCACTCCCAGAAAACGTAATTAAGTGTCTTCTCACCGACAGCCGCCGGTCGCACTCGCCGGCACTTCTCTAGCTTTTGTACGAGAACTCAGACGTGGCAATTCGTGTGCTTGGTGAACCATTATGTTAGCGTAATGTTTCCGGTACACTGCATTCGTTTTGGCCAAGCCGTTATGTAGTTGTTGCTTTAGCATTGCGCTGGCGCGACCGCCCTCTACATTGCGCGAAAAGCATCCCAATACTCAATCAAATAAATTAGGCGGGCGTATCTATGGAATGAGCCTAGAAGCGTCATAAAGCGTGAGGAGATGTCGCCCTTTAGAACGAGCGCGAAACGGATATTAAACTTAGCAGACCCCACCGGTAAACTGTTGCTGCTCCCCAGTCCACTTGGTTTTTTTTTCTTGAAGTTGTGAATTGTAAAAAAAATAGCACTAGTGCCATTAAAATAGTGGCAATCGTTACAGGCCGCAGTTGCTTGTGTTTAACAAATGTGCAATTTTTAGTAGCAGGTGTAGATCTTGTCTATGTTGTGTACACGACAAACATAACTTAAACCTTAAGTTTGTATGCCAACTATGTATTTAACACACTATCAACGTCATGTTGGTGTGGCGCAGTGGTTAGCGTCTTCGAATGAGAATCCGCAGGTTGCACGTTCGATCCTCCGTGGCGCCTTGTTTTTTTTTTTTTTTTTTTTACGGGACGGGTGTTTTTTTATACCGTTTTTATGGAATTCTTTTTCATTTTTTGTGGCAGCTCGTCACGGTGATTCTGACGTCATTTCGTGCTCAAGTGTTGCCGGCACTGCAGCACCCACCATACCCACCATGCGTCATGGTGGGTGTTTCCCACCATTCACCCACTACATTAATCCACTATAATGGTGGGTGGTGGTTTCCACCATGCCCACCATTCGTTTTTTTCCGATAGGGATAAAGCAGGTCCACAGGCACGGGAGGAATTTAAACTAACATCACGTGACGGGTTCCCGGGCACGTGAAAATTTCGGAGTCGCAGGAAGGTTGAAGTCCCAACTTTCACATGGGGAGGACATGAATGGTACGAAGGCCTGAAAAGCAGACAACTTTACGAGAACAGCGCCGACATTTGGTCCGTGAGAGAATTCATGTTCGTAGCTCCAATGCATCCGTCCCGGCAAAATATGACGGCCGGGTGGCGATGATATAAAGAAATATTTGAATGAAGAGCTGGAGATGTTTGTCTGACTTTTCGCCTAACATGCTACTCCAGGTGCTGATTGTCTATGGAATGATGAACACATAACGCATACAGCCACACGCGTAAATTACACTTTACACCGAGGATCGACTGTCTTCCGAGCCGAGTTCCAGCGACAACGGCGAGTCGAGAGAACGGTGTTGTACGCACAGAAGCGTCGAGACAATAGAGGTTTTTAGCGAGCTACGGAAACACGTTACGGAAAGGCGGCAATACGGAACCTGCTGACGAGTGCGCATGCGCGACCATTGTGCGCGCATATGGATATGAACCATGTCGTATTTCCGAAAGCGGCTTCAGCGGCGACATTTGCAACTGCCAATGACCGCAAGTTTCAGCTTCGCTGGTAAACCACCTGTACGGAGCGCTTGGGATGTGCATTTTTTTTTTTGCTACAGCTGACAGGCAGTCAGCTGTAGCAAAATAACAACAGAATATCAAGAGAATGAATTCGGCAAGGAGCACGAACGAAACCAGTGGTAATATATACAACTTTCGCGGTTAAGAGGGGACGTTCACGTTACTACTCTATGCTTCGGTGTTTCAGAAGTACAAAAGATAGCATGATACGGGGCATAAACGACAAAAAAAAAAAAAAACGCAATCAGCAAGTAAGGCTGAACACAAATTGCTGCAGATCTGAAGGTCATGGAGGCACTTCGCAGACACCTCAGATGTGTAACGATGCGATGAACGTTCTGAAACCGGTCCTTTCATTCTATTATAGAGGCGGAACGCATTCCTAATTTAGTTCTGGTACTGTTTGCACAGCAACCGTGTCGAGCAGCCCCGCCGCGGTGGTCTAGTGGCTAAGGTACTCGGCTGCTGACCCGCAGGGCGCGGGTTCGAATCCCGGCTGCGGCGGCTGCATTTCCGATGGAGGCGGAAATGTTGTAGGCCCGTGTGCTCAGATTTGGGTGCACGTTAAAGAACCCCAGGTGGTCAAAATTTCCGGAGCCCTCCACTACGGCGTCTCTCATAATCATATCGTGGTTTTGGGACGTAAAACCTCACAAATCAACCAAAACCGTGTCGAGCAGACGATCTAAGCGCGAAAACTGCAAACCTGGAAGGTACTGTACTCGCACACAAAATAGGCGCTGCATACATTCACGGTCATTGGTGGTTTCCTTGTTAATTTTAGCCCTCCTAACTACTCATGGCTTTCTGGGGTGCTAATTTGAACGGGAAACTTTTACTTGGAGTGGTTCTAAGAGAAAAAGGAAGAGAAAAGTGAGCCCCGTAACTGTCTGCATCACGGTGCGACACCTCAACAGTAGCTCACAAGGGATGGGGGTGAGGAGGGATTAAAATAATAGGATTAAAGGTATATATATAGAGAGAAAGATGCGCTAAGCCAGCGAGCGAGGACATATACTTTTCCTCGCGGTGTATATAAGGCTGTGAGCCCCAAGGCTCGCCATCAGTCGGTTTTTGTCGACTGAAATCAGTTGGATTTTTCTTTTTCTTTCTACATTCCCTCCAACTTGAGAAACTCAAAGGGTGCCGGTAATATCGAAGCCATTCACAACGTTGCAAAACAACCACAAACGCGGGAAAACAAGCAGCAACAACTGCTGCTTGAAGCAGGTCCCTAACTCCAATCATCTCAACAAAGCTTCTGGCCGCCATCGCACAGCAACGCCACGGTACCTGGAAGCTGCGCTAGAGTAGGGGCTCACGCCAGAGAACATTGTCAATTTGGTGATCTCTCCTTTAAGAAACATTCGTGAACGGCAGTACAACAACCGGTACAGTTGCTGAAGATAATTATGACAATTCAGCGGAAGATGAAGGCTTGAACACTGGAGCTAACATTTTCACAACATAACTTGTCTTTGAAACGGCAGTAGCAGATGCCACAGTTGCTGCTGACAAGCCCCCTTTATGAAACATGAGCTCTAGCTTCATTATCTGCTTGTGTTGATTAAGGTTGAGTCAAACAAATGAGCCCTCGAAAATTCTCTTTCTCCATCAGCTTAAGAGATTGACTTCAGTTGCAAGATACAGTCGTATCTCAAGCTCAAGGATAGGTTAAGCAAACAAGTCTACAAAGATTTGCTTATGCTTTTTTATTTGTTTTCATAACAAGAAAGTATGCATCTATATAATTTGTTTGAACATTGGGCTACAGTCACACAGACATAACAAACACACTTTTGATCACCCAGAAGGATCAAAAATATTTTCTGTGCTTGTTAACGAGTTATCAGTACAGATAGACTACTTCAAAAAGATCACCAGCCAAATGTTTAAGTACCAAGTACTCCTTGTAGCTTAGCTTACCAAAGGAAATTATGCCGCATCCAAACAATGAAAACACTTTCTGCTCCAGAATGCAAGGCTCATGAAATGATTGCAGGAATGAGAACACCTTTGAAATGCTTTTCTTTTCTCACAATAACAGCAATGAACAGAGAGGTGACATTTTTCAAACTACCGGCTTTACTAGACGTCACTTCTGAAGTGTGCGACTACAAATAGAAGCTACAGGAACAGTGTTTATAGAAATATCTGTATGATGACTCTTGATATTCACTTATCACCAGTATTCCGACTAATGGACGAGCAGTGCTTTGAACACTTTTAAGCAAGCCACTGAAAAGTGTTCATAGCATGACCTGGAAACATCATGGAAAGCTCAGATTAATCTAAACACTTAAAGTGCACAATTTGTTCAAAGCAAGGCACATTGTAAAGCGTACCAGTACAATTGCTTCCAATAACCACAACAAAAACAGATCAGTAAAACCCCTTTTACAAGCATGCTTATCAAATAATCCAGTAGGTAAGAAGCTAACAGATCTTACAATATGCTTTATACGAGAAGGTAAACTGCGCCAGTTGACTGGCTCCCATCCCAGCAGCGGCAAGCTCATTCCTCTTCCATGCAGTGGCTGTTGTAAAAGTGCCGACCACTTCTCAAGGGCCAGCTGCAATCTCAACTGCTAGGACATGCAGTGAGGCCAAGTCACGAGATGGTCCCTAGGAAAGTTAGACAGGACCACACACAGAGAAAACGGACCAACAAAAAAAGAAAAAAATACAAACTGGTTAGTAATGCAGTTATTCAGTTGTGTTTTTCCACATGCTTAGCATGCACATCATCATTCCATGTAGCATTTGCAATCTGTCTGAATTAAACACTAAAAGAAGAAGATATCTTGTTTTCCACGAGAAACAAAATCATTGTGAGAGAAGTGTTAAGAGAAGGCCAGCATTCTGGTCACCCACCCAGCCATCAGGTGAAAGAGATTTGCACACTTATCCTTGATGGTACAATGCAGAAGCATGGTGTTACAAAGCCATTTGTTAGTGAAGCACCAAGCCTGAAACAGCTCAAGAAAGCTAGGGCCCTACGGAGGCTAAGCTGTGCTACTGGAAAACAGTCTAAAAATGCAAATACCAATATTTTCCTACCATAGTGATCAGCCATTATAGGCTGCCAAGTTAGTAATTCAATAAAACAATAGAATCAAATGAACATGAAACAAACAACAAAACAATCACCAACTCAATGAGACAAACAATTTACTAAAGACAAGGACAAAACAAAAGGAAAAGAAAAAGTCAACAGAGCAAGAAGGCAACACGCTAAGCAGCAGTAAAATAAGACAGACAGCAATTGGCACGCATCTGGTTTCCTGCTCCATGAAATCAGTCAGACAGTAGCGGACTATCCAACTTGTCGTACCGCACCTGAAGATAAAAAAAAAAGAAAGATAGGTTGGAAGAAAAAAAAAATTTTGTAGTGCTCCTCTCCTGTTCCAGGACCAATGATTGAAACATGCCTAACTGAGGCAACATTTTTGCGGTACATGTTCTGTCATACATTTGAGGAGCAAAAGCTTAAGGCACTCATGACTTGAACACATGGAACATCAACCAGAGTGGATTTTACTGGAGACAATACAGTAAACTCGAATAGCGATTAGCAACTGTTGCAGTCAAACATTTTCTATCTAATTTTTTTTGCACTTGCTGCTGCTGATCATCAATGAGTGTTTCCCTGTAGAATGAGGTACATATTAAAGAAAACTGTCGTTTTCATATTCAAACAACCTTCAATCACATATGAATGGGCAATTCCTACAAAGCCTGCATGATGGTAGACTGAATTTTATTATTTATTAACAGTCACTGAATGATTTTTCGGACACAGAGGTGGCAGATGCGGCACCAGGATTTTCTGCTGGAGGTGCAGCAGGGCATTCAATACTTGGCTATGATGGTAGGAGGGAGCAGAAAGAATAATGGGGGGTCAGCAGGCCCCCGTCATTCACTTTCAGAGCTGCCCCAACGGAGGCTGTAAAAACGTTAGAACAATCAGGCAATCCGGAAAAAAAAGAGCAACTGAGGAAAAATGTTCTGTTATTTTCAACAATGAATGCAGCATAAAAATTGTCTTTAGAGACTACTTCGGTGTTGCACTCTAATAAAGATACATGTGCTTTTCAATTTTATGGTCAATGTTGTCGAGGTGTCTTGTCGCAGAACAGTCGTCTTTTTTGTTCCCTTATCATAGAACCAGACATGCATTGTGTGCAGTGCAGGACCAATACAATATAAAAATTTATTAGCAACTGGCCTCATCAACAATGGGCCTCTTATATGAGCATTAGGCAGAAAGTTTTGACTAGTAGCATATTTTGGGCGAAGCAACACAGCCAAGACTAGAGTTAACAAGTGTTGCTTCGTCACACACAAACAACTGAAGTTACGATTTGGTGCCCAACCTGCATAGAAGTATTTGCAATGGTAGAAAGCCACCAAGGAAAGCATGGTTCCAGGCAGGCACCTGGCTGGCACCAACAGTTTGTGACCCTTATTTTCTGCAACATTGCGATGCAGACCATGTCCACAAAAGTGAAACATACGCGAGACGCCATATAATATTTGATACAACCACCTCAATATATTGCATTCAAGATGGTGGCAGCCTGGAAATGTCCGAAAAATCAATTCGCGACTGCACGTGTGTCAATATATAAACAATCAGTTCCTTCCAATGTAATCAATATTATTTCAGAAAGGTCCATTCATGTCCTTATTAAGTAATCTGGCAGATAAAACTTTATGGACTTATAGTACTCTTGCCAACGGTATTGAGAGTACAAACATTGAAAATGTAAAAAAAACAAGACAAAACAAGCAACGGAGCATGGCAAGCAACAGTTGTTAGCCAGTGTTAGGTCAAACATTGCAAGAAAAGCCAGCAAGCAAAAGCAGCCATGATGCAAAGTTATCTCCCACTCCACCACCCTTTCAAGTTATCAAGCATACCTGTAAAGGCCCGTCATATTGGGAAAAATTGTTCATTACTACTAAGTACCACAAATTAAAAAATAATAATAATTAGCACATACTTTAATTTGGTGCCAAAACCTGGTGTACTATGCATAACAAAGTTAGCTTGCCTCAGAAGCCAAATATGAACAAAATAGGTTATCACACTGTACTGAGAGATTTCACAAAGATTCTGTAATTGTAGATATAAGGATTTAAATCAGTTCCAATTGGTAACGAGATTCTGCAAAGCTATCAGCTCTCTTATAAAAGTAATATAGCAAAACTAACTATCCTTTAGATTTGCAAAACAAATATGCACTACAACCACTTGTAGTACGGTGAACAGATAAAGCTGTTCCGGCTAACACCTTTGTCAAAAGGAATAGGGGCCTTAAAAGACAAACAGAGATTTCTGCAACATACGATTCTGCTAGCTATGAGACAATTCCACTTTCTGATATAACGAATATTTGGCACGCACAACAAGATATGCTTAGTAGGTCTTTTATAACGCATACTTCCTGCATTAAACAAAAAAATAACGCACACCTGAAAAAATGCTTTTCCTGAACATGTCAGGAGCTGTACGTACTTGTGCCCCGAGCCCACTTTACTCAAGGAGAAGTAAAAACAGAGGTCAGATTAGGCTGCTTACAAGGTAACCAACACACAATCCTCCTGTATGCAAATGGGCTATGGGCACATAAGAAACAATATCAAATGTTTACAAAAAATTTACAAAATATTTACGTCTCACCTTTTACTCATACTGCTGCACTTAAGAAAGTAAAAAATAAACAGATCTTACAATCCTAACTTAACACGATATGAAGTAAGCATGTATATTTGGCATAGCAAGCATGTTAGAGAAGCTTAATGATAAGTGGGTCACAGTAAATGTGAATAAAGATTAAATGCACAAGTATTTGCTCACTCTCGTGAAAGCAATAAAATAAAATGAGCAAATACTAATCGCCTCTGGATGGAATTTACTGATAAAAATGACGCACACAAAAAAAGGAAACTATTAAAGACTTATATTTTCAGCTTGCTTTAGAGACACACTGCATTGGTTGGAATAATGTGCAGCCCAACAGGGTCAGTAGTAAGCAAGTGAATCTCTTCCAAAGAGTTCAAAGCATGTGCTCATAGGGAAAGGAAGGAAAGACAAGCAACCCCTAAAACAAGGCCACAAGTGCACAGGATTGGGGACACCAAGTCACACCAACAACACATCACAGCCGCTCAGGATCGTCACCGTAGCTGGCCTCAGCAGCCTTCCCGCCACCGAGCGTGCCGTTGGCCACTGCTCCGTTGCAGGCAGTCAATGCCCGCTTCTCCTCCACATCACCCGCGGCGCCTACCTCAGCGAAGGCTGCCACACCCTTAGCATCAGCCACTGCATCGGCCCGGCGACAGCAGCGGATGTACACCTTCTGCCCCATCAACAGCAGCAGGAGTGGGATGGGAGTCACAATAGAGGCCGCCACAGGCACCACTGATGCAATATCTGCCTCTGGCTGAGGCAGAGAGAAGCCCAGCAACACAATGGAAATGCCTGTGTTCTGGACACCAGTCTCTATGGACACTGCAAGCACATCTGCCCATGGGAGACCTGCCAGTCGAGTGGCCAGGGCACCCACTGCAAAGCCTACCCAGACGTTAGCTGCCGCAGCCAACAGTACTCGCCAGCTCATAAGCCGGAACATGTACAAGTTGGCATACGTGCCAAACACAACTATATACACTATCATGGCGACGGACACCGGGGCCAGCAAGCGCTTGCACACGTCAGCAACCTTGGGCCGCCAACGCTGCAGGGCCAGGCCAACACCGAGTGGCAGCGTCATTGACACCAATGTGGTGAAGATGTTGCGGAAGGGAATGCGCAGCGATGCCTCTTGGAACAGGCTGCGTCCAAGTGTGAACAGCCAGAGGGGCATCGTGCCTGCAGCCAGAAAACATTACTCTGAAAAACACCACACAAGAGCTACACAAATAGTCAGCTTTTCAACAATGTATCGAAAGACAATAAACATGTGCCAGGGCATTCACACATGCAGAACCCAACTCTACATGTAATACCCCTGTCACACGGGCACTTAAAAGTCTTTTAAGTAAGCGGTCTTTTTCCGAAAAGGAGTTCCTGACAGCAGACACACGGCACAGAGCGAACTCCTTTTCAGAAGCGGTCTTTTTCGTAAACTGAGTTCGTCGATCTCTTTTACGGCTCCGAATGAGTAGCCTCGAAACCAGTGGGCGCCAGCAATTTTCGAGTGGTCAAAAAAAAAGAGCGAATGCTTATTTTTCTGTCACCAAAGCTCTTTGTAAAAACAAATTTCATATCCTGCAGAAGGTGTATTGAATTCTTTTAATGGTTATTTCCTTTTCTACTCTCGTAAGCAGCTACAACGCGTCGGCGATATCACGTGGTGACGCTCGGTCTTGCGCTGCTTTATCCTCTCCTTGGCGGCTTTTGCAGCGTCTGCCTCGCTTTCCAGAGCGAGAAGGCAGGCCGTGAGGCTTGCGATCCTCGCTTTTTCTCCTGTGCGGTCGCCCATAACGTGTCGAGAGCAGCAAAAAACAAATACGGTAAATAAAAGCACAGTGGTGCCAGACGGACTTGTGCACGTCGCTAGTTATGGGAATGCTTCCTTATCTAGTGAAAAAAAAAAAAAAAAACATTCACATTGGTGTTTCTTCATCTCTTATTCTTAAATTTATTTGAAGAAACGAGCAGTGCAACAAGTCTTTAATTTGTACATCGTGATACATCGTTTAATTTTCATTGCTTCTCTTGTTAACTGCTAGCGCCACGCTTTCGCTAGCGTCTTCGAACGAAAACACTAAAAGGAGATTGTTGCTGCCGTGTGTCTGCGCCGCAAACACCTCTTTGTTAAAAGTCTTTCAACTTCGTAAAAGACCGCTTACTTAAAAGACTTTTTGCACGCCCGTGTGACACAGGTATAAGCCAAGTAGAAAAAGTGCACTTCTCAACTCGTACTCATTTCTCAACTTATTGCTCTGTCCACCCTTTTGTCGGTGTTCTTCATCCCTTTATTGTTAGGGCCACAAATTTCTTTAGCTATCACTCAGAAGAGTCACGAGTTGGGCTAGTTTAAATATTGAACTACGACTGACTATCAAGTAGCTCAGACTAAAGTTTTTGCATCCCAATTCTACGTCACCCACCAAGTACATCACCAATTAGGAGAATACATGTTTCTATGATAAACAAGCCAACATGATTTTTTTTCTTTCTTTCTTAACGTATTTAACCCCTTTACCAAGTGAATTTTAACAGTTCATAGCATTTCCTATTTAAATATTTGAATGTGTCAAACAGTCTCTCAGTGCAAAAATGTGGAAATTAAGTGTTCCAGCGATCTTTCTCGAGAATCGCTGAAGTAAAGCATGATAAGTAGCCAAGCAATCTGCACTAGTACTCCCTCAAAAGACATCCCACACGCTTCAGCTTTCACTGCAAGTATGTTTTCAACAGAAATGAATGCAACATCCACAAGTGAAGGCAAACCTGAAATTACATAGAAAATGTGTCTATATTGCTATTTCTTAAACCCCTCTAAGAACATGTGCTTGAATTCATAGCTACACAAAATCCTCATTTTCATGGGATGGTAATGCTGTTTCCAAGCCTCTAGTTAGCAGAACATGCACTAAAGTCCGACAGACATTTTTTTCGTAGATTCTAAAACCACCTACAGGCTACATTCTCATGTAAAAAAAAAAAATGCTGGCAACAGTAACTGGCATGTTTAAGATTGAACTAACAAAATAAAAAAAAATTGCCTTCCTGAAGTTTACAACATACTATGCTTTTGGGAGCAAGAGTTCCTTATTTTTATACCTTATAGTGCATCATTTCTGATAAAACAAATGAGGAAAGTAATACAAGAATTATGAGAACCATCTGCACAATTGATGCCGACCATTTGTACAGCCCAAGTAGCTAACTTACTTGCCCAAGCAATACCGGATTCATGTTGTTGTTTAGCATATTTGGAAAGACAGTAGTCATCACAGTACGAGTAAAGTGCACTCAGAACATTTTCACTAGAGACCAGAACTTTAGGCAAAATGCCTATTTTTTCTTGGAGTCCATTTCGAGCCTTTTATTGTGCCTATTTCAAGGTGTGTGTTTAAATCAGCCCTTCAATGACTAAAAATGCCTTTTCACACTCACCGAGTACACATTTTGCTTAAATGAGCCGTTCATATGGAGGAAAAAAAGAAGCACTTAGTGTGACCATATTAACGACAACACGAGCATAGCATGCCGTTTTTTTTGTACATATTTTTAGCTCCTGTTAAGGTAGGATTATAGTTCGACGTAGGATCGACGTGCGCATACGCCAGCATGTCGGTGAAAACAGTCCATAGGTTGACGCACTGCCACTACTAACGTATAACTGCACTCGGCCAATGCGCTCCGACGCATGTGATGCACGCCGACACTCCAATAACATCGGACTATAAACACACCTTTATGTGAGCGGGGCTTGTACCCCAGAGAGGAGAAGTGAGACTAGCATAGCGCTAGTGGGCCCCCTAAAAGATATCCGTCGCTTGATTCAAGAGTAGTGCATCATAGCGCTTGCGTGAGCGAGGCTATGAGCGAAGCTACTAGCGAGGCTACTTTAGCGAAGGGAGGCTCACGCTAGTGTACCCCCTGCCCCTTGAATATTCCCGGCACTAGGTTCGAGAGCAGTGGAGCTTGGATGTTCTGTGTGGGAGGCTAGAGTACAGTGTAACTAGAACATACTCTAACGAGCCAATGTTAAGCTAGGCTGGCGCTGCCGCCTTCTACCTGCACGCAAGTTTCGTTGGCATTTATGTTATTCATAACGGCAACTGTCGGAAGTCTGCCAAGCAATGCAAAACAAAGAGGCCGTAAAGTATCCTTGTCAGACGATGGACCAGTAGATCACAGTACTACTCCATCGATGGAGAAACAGTATTTTGCTGTACGTGTGGAAAGCAACTAAAATAAGACATTGGAAAAGTCAACAATATTTTGCTTTTGATGTTCTCTTTAAAGCACGCATAGGCACAAAGCTCCCAACATTGCTTACGCAACTGCCAATTCAAATAACCTTTGAACCTGCGCAAATAACGAATTTTGTGGTCATTTCACGGGCACTCATATTCATTGTTTTGTTATTTTTATATCCGCATCTGTGAACTCGCATGCACCCATTACACAAAATTCAGCCATATCAGACAGCTTCACTGACACAATCCACTTTCAACTTTAATGATTACACTGCAGTAACCCAGACTTCAAACTTTTCGAGTAACATCATGCAATAAAAAGTATGCACCAAGTGGTTGAAATACGCACCAGGTACAAAATATTGCTATCCTGTTCAACACTTAAAGGCGAAGCTTGAGTCCCCAGATTTTTCGGACATGCAGGAAAGGGTCACCACCGCCCCATCAATGGACCTGTTGCTGACAGGGTCACATCAACGCTTATACCACTGTCACAGGTGGCAACTTAAGTGCACTTTGAGCAAGTACACTTCCCCGCGTGTGTCATTTGTGTGCTGTCACATGAGAAAGTTTAGTGTCACTCACTGCAAAGTACACTTGACGGCAAGTGAGTTCCCCAACCCCACTTCGCCGTGACGAAGTGTGTAGCCTCGGTACCAGTGGCTTGTACATAAATACACTGTTGCCTAAAGTGGCGCTCATACTATTTTCAAACCATTGTTTTTATTATGAGGAATACTGCTATGTACTAACACAAGCCATAAATACTACGAAAAAGCTCGCTACTCCCATTGTCGAGCAGTTTGCGGCCATATCTCCTAGGGGGATGTGGCAGCACATGCTGTGCAATGGCTGTGTCCGTCACGTTGTTTAGTTCTAGGCACTTTTGTGTAGGTGGGTTGTTCACTAGTCATTTAAGATGGCGTGTGTCACAGGTGCTACTTCCACGAAGACAATGTGGTGCAGCGATGAGACACAGGTGCAAAAATAACAATATACGTGGTGCTACAAACCCGTCCATTGCCACTGCCATCATTTCCAAAGTACACTTCCCTTTCCCGTGTTGCAGTGAATCGTCAAAATGACACTTTGTGAGTGCAAGTACACTCACTCAAAGTGCACTTAAGTTTCCACGGGTGACAGGGGTATTAAACCTGTCTTGGGCAAGAATCCAAAATTTTATGTGCCAGAACAAGTGTCCAAAGTTTTGAGTGGTGCTGATTCAAACTTTCCAGATCCAATTAAAGCATTGAAAGTGCCAGGCCACAAGTATGCTTCCCTAACTTCAGTGGATGCCCAGCGTTTTTTTTTTTTTTTTTTCACATAAAAACAAATGTTGATTGAAAGCAGGCACAATTTAAGCCCGAAAACCTTGAGATTATGCTGGTTTGACACTGCTTTCATAGCCTTTCCCACAATGTCCAAATACCCCAGCTTTCACCTAAATCTGTTCAAGTGGTTATGCTTTTTTTAATTCTTTTCATAGAAAAAATAAATTTATCTTTCCCAAAGCACAGAATTTGCCGGCTGTGTTTGTTAGAAGTTGAATACTTGTCCTGAAACTTGCCACTGAAGTAATCATGAAATGTGCTTATACATGCCTAAACAATAGTTAACACCTGTCTGTGCCTAAATTGCAGCTTTTAAGGCCTATTATAGGTGCCTGAAACATTCTTTTTTCGTGCCTAAAGTTCCGATCTCTAATTATCACTGTAAATTGAGAAGGAAAAAACTAACAAAACAAGATCAACTCACACGCAGTAAAAAGTATGCCCAAAAATTTTTTGCGAAACACAATTGGTAAAGAGAGAACATTAAAAAAAAATGCCCCTACTTATTGAAATTGGCCCTGTAACACTTTATCAGCACGGTGAAAAAACGCTATTGATTAATCACCGAGGCTCCTGAGAATACGCGAGCCAAACATTGCGCAGCACACAGCCTGAAATTTAAAATTCTCAAAGTCTACTAGAAGTCGCTCTCTCCATTCCTTCCCACAAGTAATTCTATGCATCCAAATTTTTGCGCCATACAGCCAAAGTTCATGGCTATTGACTCATTTGAGCATCATAAACTAAACAGTTATCGTAGCCACAGCGGGATGTCTCCATCTGCCCGCATGTGCACTCTTGATCCCATTAAAAGTAAGCTGTACGCTCGAAGAAAAAAAAAATGAAGAGAAAGTACTGATGGTGATAATGCACGCTTATGAAGCGAAGCATTATCTTGCCCCCTTGCGATTCCCCTCCCTGCGAAGATTTCAGAGTTCTTGCTGGTACGAACAGAGAAAGAAAGTACTTAAAGCGTGAGATAAATCCCTGGAACTGCGCTCGTAAAATTTTTGCGGCAGTTGATTGGCGAGGCACTAAGCTCTTTTAATGAAGCCATTAGAAAATAGTTGGAAAAGTGTTGCCCTGCCCCATTAATGCAAATGCAGCAAAAGGAAATGTATATAAAAAAGATGTCCTCACACATTTATACATTGCCTTCTACTGATAGAACTACCACAGAATATTAAAATAAAATTAGGAGATTTAAAACGACATGCCTTTTATGTGTTAACAATGTTCCACTTCTTAGACTTAAGCAAATTAGAAGGCAGCTTGTAATGATAGAATTTTGAACAGTCACCACTTTAAGAATAACCTTTTGCTTCTATGGTATCTACTTAATAAAGGTTTCGTGAATTCAGGAAATTTACCATGCAAAGCATGTGGTCTTTCATGGCACACTGCTATAAAGAAACACATTAAACACTTGACTGTTCAATAGTTTTCAATGCAACACATTTCCACAATGTACAACCTTATAAAATGGTAGAGCCATGCACCTTACAGCACATTAGGAGTGTGTGCTTATCAAAAATTGTACTAAGCACCAAGTTTTCAAAGAGACCTTGTTTATTCAGTGACAATGCTTTCAGCCTCTTTATTGTTTTTTACCCCACTTCCCTGTCCACCCCTCAAAAATTTCTGAGGACCATGGCTCAATTATTCAGCAGGGTATTTAGTTAATCAATAGCCAGCGATGTGAGGCTCAGACACAAGAAATAGGTCTGATCATTGGGTTATTCTATGTATTTAAAGAGCCAGTAAACAACCCCCAATGTCCAAAAATTGTCATAAAAAAAATAAGTGCACTTTTGTATTGCAAACATGTTGCCACAAGAATATCACAAATACATGTTATATTAAGGAAGTTACAGGGGTTAAAACACCGGTTTAAGCTGGTTTCAAATTTTCGTGTGACCTCACCACCATTCTCTCTTACAAGGAGTGGAAGGTGTAGCTCGTCGCCATGACTGGTTTAGACCAATCGACGAGCTTAATGCTACGTCAAGTCACTGAGAGGCAACTTTGCGTCACTGTGTGTGAAAGGATGACTGGTCAGGCATAGGAAAGGAGCGTGGGAACTGTTTTTCAAAATGGAGGCTCTCCGCAGCGCTGTAATACTAGGAAAACGTGATTGCCGCAGTCTACTGTATGAATTGCCGACCTTCATTGGGCGGGTAGGGGTATAAAAAAAAGTCTGAGCCTGTTGACTGGCTCTTTAATAACATGTGTGTCACTGAAGAAACGTGATACAATAAGGTTTGGGGATTTAAACAAACAAACCCTTACCTAGAGAAGCTATGGTACTGATGAAGGTCATAGCAATGCTCAAGTTTAGGTTTCCACCAAGAAGAACAGTCCACATGTTGCTAGCTCCTCCTCCAGGCGAACAGCCAAATGTAAAAAGCCCAAGCTGCAGGTAAGCTTCTTCAAAAAGCCACTGTGCCATTCCAAATGCCACCTGAAGCAAGAAAAAAAAACAGAGAAGTGCACTGCTGGGTTAGCATAACCAACTAGCCTTACCAACAGAGTATAACACCACGAAACATCATAAACGCTACGAGACTGACTATAATGGGAAGCTTTGGATTATTACGTCCTCTTGAGGCTCTTTGACTATAACTCAAAGTGCACCAGATAGTGTTTCCACACTTTTACTCTATTTGAAAGCAGCTAGTAAATAAACCTCTGACCCCCAGAAAAGAAAAAAGATTGTGAACTTTTTTTTATCTGGTGAACAAACTACGAACAGAGAAGTGAGACAAATGTACTTTCTAAAAGGAAATAAATTTTGCTGAAGACAAGCTGAAATGCTACGCTGCCCTTTAGTGGCAGTATCAAACTAGAAAGCATTGCGTTTCACATAATGCAAGTTCTCATAAAGTTAGTAGTACATGTTTTTGTACAAGAGCGTGGTGCCCCAGAAATGTAAGATATATAGGCATCACAGCAAGTATGAAGAACTGGATACAATTATAACAAAATCACTGGCAACAAAAAGTCAACATAGCAGATTTGTCTGGACCCTTGATTGCACTAGTGATGAAGATAATCCCTCAGTTTTCACTTAAAAAGTGGGCAATTCGACCCTATGTTTTTCAGTAAGCAGGCTAAGCTTTTATACTTGGTGGAAATAATTCAAGGGAACTGCAGCATAGGTGCCTATAACGCACTGATTTCATCTCCTGCATGTGCACATCCCATGAGACACCAAGAGTTACCAGGTAAGGCAGCCAGGCACTGCTTATAACTTCACCCTATCTATGGGGGAAGAATAACATGATAAAAAATTGCAAAGAAACAAAGCACCAGCCTCTTCCATCCACAACACCAGGAAGGAAGGTTTGCACACGAATGATGCTAAATATATCCCCTCAAAGAGGAGTCACTTGGCACAGTGCTCAAGGGGTGCACATCAGAAGCCAAGTTTACCCCTTCACAAGCCCATATAGCCTAATAAAACATCTGTACTGACCACTGTTCACACATTTAAATGCAACTTCACATGCCCACTGCGTCTTCTTAATGTAATCAATATTTTGTAGTCCCATCAAGTCCCAATTCATATTCGATATTAGGCTACAATATATATATTTTAGAGCTCTGAGGTCATGTAAAGAATGTGTATGGAATACTCATGAAACTGCAGAGAGAAAACAGCATCAAGAATGCATGTATTGACGTAAACGTAAGGACATTCCTCAAAACACAAGGCAAGTACACTGAAGCAATGAAACTGCTTTCACCAATAGAAGTTAATCCATGTGAAGAGGAAACTGACTAAAGTGAATAATGCATGGGGTTTATGTGTTAGCACTAACCCGGCGATCTTTAGAAATAAAAAAAGAGGCACACAACAACGATTGTGCTCCGTAACTTTTCTTCTGCAAAGCCTCGGGCACAAATGTTTCGAGCGAGCCGCAACTCTGACACGACCTGTTAATGTGCTAAGGGCTTCGTACCTTTATTTCAGGCTATCGGACCTGTATTTGGCTCTTTATGAACCATATATAGTAGCCAATGAGAATTAACACATGACGATCGTAGCTCATACACAACCTTCCGACAACCATATTTTTGACTCGCGAACACGGTGAAAAGAAACAACATAGACGGAATGGCTCTTGCCAGATCAAAAACATGCAGTCGAAAGTGATGGCTTTGTGGCGATTGAGCCTGCACGAAGCTAACAGCATCCGCGCGTGGCACCCCGCTATCAAGTAGCGACCACCCTCAGGAAACCAGTGGCGACCGACGCACCACATCCGCGACTCGATGTGTGATCTGCTGCGACGGGTTTCCTAGAAGAATGGGTGGCGTCAAGGTCCGCCTTTTAGACAAGGCCTCCGGCGTTCGCTCTCGCGTGCCACAAACACGCTCTTGTGGCAGGCACGCGAGGGTCAGCCACTTTCAGCCAACGCTGTGTATAGTGCTAGCAACGTCGTTCAATCATCGGCTGCCTCGCCGGTCAGCGAGCAGTGCACGGCAGCGGCGGGGTTTAACCACACACGCATGATGCACTTTCGCACGACAAGCGCTTGAATGGAACAGCGACTATGTAGGACAGTGACACTCACCAAAGGCATGGCCAGATACTGACTGAAGAAGCCTACAACCGGTCCAATAGGCCTCCGCAGGACGTCTTTCACAACTTCCATGTCCAAAGCACAACCCATGTTGATGTAGTTTAGTGAAACTAGCACGGCTACGGACACTGTAAAAATTAAGGAAAGTCTGCTCTGCTTCCGCACTACGCTGACAGGTAGAAACTCGTTCGACTCGGTGCCATTGGCCACAACGCGTACCTTGGCGTGACCCAGAAAGTTCCCCTTCACGGTAAACGTCCCGTTGACAAAAGCGCCCGTTTCGGTGACATTTAGATCGGTCACCGATGCCACATACGGGTTGTCCGACGCGACGCTGAAGAATCGTGGCTCCAAAGCAGGTGCGGAAAACGAGACGCGAGCCAGGTTGCCCTGCTTCAACTTCTCCACGCGCATGGGGTTGAAGGCCACGGACAGCGCGGCCACAACCTCGAGCAAGAGCAGCAGAAGGCTGCACAACAGTGCCAGCAGAACCACGGGACACATGGTTCAGGCTCGGTCTGGATAACGGCTTGAAGGAGAAACACTCGATGTTCCAAATGACGGCGCCACTTGAAAAACCAGTCCCCGCAAACGAGGCCGCGAAACGAAGCTCCGCTGCCCCGAGTGTCCGGCCTATGAAGCAAGGACGGTGGTGTGTGTTACTGCCACCGCTTATCGCGAACCAAATGCCGAGCTGACGTATCTGACGTCACATCCAACAGAGACGACAATCGTAGGGGGGAAGAGGGAAAGAGAAGCGTAGCGCGTTACCTGGCGGTAGAGGTGGTAACTAAAAACTGCGCTGCTGGCATGTCTGGGCTTGCAACGTAGGCTTGCGCCAAACTCGATGCATCTATGCAGGTGTTCTCTGTACCATTTGTCTGTGCCTCCGTGCGCCGAAAACACTTTCATTTTATTCTGTTTAGTAAGTGCGCTTTGGGACTGACAGATCAGGAAACATTAACAGACAAAACGGGAAAAGTAGGCCAGCGAGAAACAGGAAGTTCCGACGCCCAGAGGTGAAACTTTCACTTTAGGAGAAAAGTCAGGATATTGTGCAGATAATTCATGCGTTGGCAGCTCACGTTCTCGGCAAACGTTGACATTCGTTGCGCGCGCGCGCGCGTGTGTGTGTGCGTGCGTGTGTGCGTGCGTGTGTGTGCGTGTGCGTGCGTGCGTGTGTGTGTGTGTGTGTGTGTGTGTGTGTGTGTGTGTGTGTGTGTGTGTGTGTGTGTGTGTGTGTGTGTGTGTGTTGTTCTAAGCAGGTAGACAATCCTTTGACACAGCAAGGCGTTTCCAACTAGTAATATTTTTCTTCGGTGTATAAATTCCAACAAGTACCATTTTTCTTTGCTGGATAAAACGTCAAAGCCATTCTAATTGGACTATTCAAGTTTCACCACTTTGGAGAGAAATGAAATGTGCGTTTGCGCACACGTTCACGCATAATATACTCAAAATAAGATGTCATTGCGAGAACGGAAAAATGCACAAAATTGGCCGCCAAAGTCCAGAATATTTCTTCTCCATTTTTAAGAATCATTGTTATGAAACGTTGTAAACACAGATGTTGTCATATAAATTATTAATATATGACACAATCACCTTTGCTATCGTCAGCATAAAATTATCCACCACATGCGCGCAACTTTAGGCAAATCAAGAAAATTAGTGGTACTTTAATTTTATTTCAGAAATCGCTCACTTACAAAAAAAAAAGAAGTTCGCCATTTTTGTCTAATTTTCGTTAAAGTACTTTAACCAAGAAAAGCGCGATATATTCTATGCTTGCTAGCTGAAATATATGCCCCGCCGCAGTGGTCTAGTGCAAGGTACTCGGCGGCTGACCCACAGGTCACGGGATCGAATCCCGGCTACATTTTCGATGGAGGCGAAAATGCTGCAGGCCCGTGTGCTGAGATTTGGGTGCACGTTGAAGAACCCCAGGTGGTCGAAATTTCCGGAGCCCTCCAGTACAGCGTTTCTCATAATCGTATGGTGGTTTCGCGATGTTTAACTCCACATATCAATCGATTAGTTTATATATATATTGCACCCTTCACGCTACCTTTCCCGCTACCACAAGGCAGTCGGGGGATTGGGGCAAAAAGGGGTAGAGGGTCCCTGCTATGAAGAAACGACTACGAGGGGGAGAGAGACTGGCCCCAGCCCACCAGTGTGCCTACCATTGTCGTCGTGTGTAAATATCGCAAATATCTGTAAATATACGTTTCCTTGTACGACTTTATATATATATATATATATATATATATATATATATATATATATATATATATATATATATATATATATATATATATATATATATATATATATATATATATGCTGTTATTATAGGTGTAAATTTCGCGAGCTGCGTGACTGACATGAAATTGTGTTAATTAACTTTTATAACACAATGCACGATCATGGTGCATGTCCCGAGAGGATACCTGAAGACGACCATATTCCCAGACAAAGCCCTATTTGTAATGAGGGAGCGACGATATGAGAAGGAAAAAAAAAAACACCATATGCTTAGGCATACTGCAATAAAAAAAATCCGAGGGGATCGCATTGAATCAAACGTCACTCCTAAATGGCATGCCTCACAGTAAGATCGTTATTTTGGCAAGTTATTCTATCGCTCAAGTTAATTTATTAATTATTAGCGAGCAATTATTTCGGAAAAGCACTGCCCATCCAACTATCGGCAAGGCAACTGCAGCGATAGTTATGCGATTCGAGCCGAAGTGGGTGCAGGGAAGGGAGGGGGGGGGGGATCAATTCGCAAGCATAAAATTTCCCAACAGCTAGAACTCCCGCGTTTAGCCGAAATGATTAGTGAAACGTGATAGTGTAGGTGTTGGCACTGCGAAGAATCTTCGCTCCCCCCCCCCCTTCCTAATGGGAAACCCTGTACACGCTTATGGCTACAGCACGTGCAGCACAGCACGTGCACAGCAGTACAGCACGTGCAAAGAGCCCACGTGGACGTGCAATCAGCACGTGACCCGAAAGAAATGCAAAAAGGGGATAGGTGAAACTGGCGAAGTTGACGAGACTGACATAATTTCACCTATTTCCTTTTGCGAATAGATCAAACTAACACTACCATAACTCTAATCATGCAAAATGACTCGCAGTCTCATTATCAATTTATCGCTCATTACTATAATTCTCAATGACCGGGACTGTGGTCTCTATGGCGTCATTATTTCTGTATACTTGGTACCGCAGTTAGTTACCGTACGAACGTGTGCTCGAAGACATGCTGCGAGTTTACTACTTTTTTACATGTTAATTTTGGTTCTCAGTAGACGCAAAACGTCACTATAAATGTAAATTCATGCGTGCGTCCCGTTCAACTAATATAGCATGCACACCAATTACCTCAATAATGTTTCTCTTGAATTTGTCAACTCTTATAAAAGCTAGGTGAACATATTCACTAACTTGTCTTGGAAGAGGCACATTAACTACTTAATTAGGAATGCTAACCTATTTACGCCGTAACATTTCGTCAGCACCTTCTTCTCTAAAAATGTTTCTCTATACTACCCTTGTACGAGCTCAATTAGAATAGGCATGGGCCGTTTGGGCCACTATTACTGGCAAACTAATATCTTCATTAGAACTTGATCGTACAAAATAATTTAGCTCGCTTCATCTTATGCAACTACAATAGAACTGCAAGGGTGTCCGCTATGAAAAACAATCTTTTAATCACGTCACCATCTTGTCGTCGTAAAGCCACGCGTCTGGCTTTTTTTTTTTTTTCACAAAATATTCCATCGTCAAACTCTTCGAAACATTTCTCAGCCACTTTATCGCCTCGAATGGACCATCGTTACAAGGTTGGTCTTAAAACGTTTCATACAAAAACCTTCTATCAGACATTTATAATCCGATCATCCTCTGAACGAAACCACTTTCCCAAAGTCATCGTATCAATTCATGACAGTCACTTGTTTAAAGCAGCTTTATCTAATATCTTATGAACTGATTCTACTCTTTCTTCTCCTTTTTTTTTTTTACTATGTGCAACAAGAGTGATTCTATGACTTGATTTTTTTTCTTACGTACATATTTTGTGACCTTTGTGCATTTGCCGTCATTGTTTATCACTTGTCTGTCATCATTTTATCTGGCTTTAATTTAGCTAAAACTGTATACCTACATATGCCTTTTATACTGAAATGTTCTGTGTGCTATATTTTCTATTTTGCTTTGGGGTCGCTTTTGTAACCACTCCCCTCTTTAATGGCTCTGGCCCTGAGGGTTTTAATAAATAAAATATACAAATGAAATTTAAAAGAAGACCAACGCGGGATTGAACATACTTTTTTCTTCATCCCCTCTTTCTTTCAGCACAAAGGGGTCTTTTATTGTAGTTGTGTCTTCGTAACACTTCTTGAAACGTCGGGAAGCCTCACTGCCTGGTGGTAGCGAGAGCGCGCATGCGAGGCGACCTCTGTACGCGGAGTCCTACACTCCGCCCAAGGCCAGTCGAGCGACCCTGCGGTAACTGTTCATTGCAATAAATGTTCTCACTCACAGTCTCGACAAAGCAGAAAATGGTGAGAGCGAGCACAAACTTGCCATATGCCATCGCGTAAACTCGTCCCGTCAAGTGACCCCCACGCGCGCCTTCAACGACGAAGAAGGAAACATCGTCATCCGGCGGATGTCTCAGGAAGGGAACGTTCACATCCACGTGGATGCCGCCTTTCGTTTCGCGCCGCATACACCACACTTATACCGCCCCGTTGCTTTCTCCTTGTGTATATATATATATATATATATATATATATATATATATATATATATATATATATATATATATATATATATATATATATATATATATATATATATATATATATATATATATATATATATATATATATATATATATATATATAATATAGGTATGGGATATGGCACAACGGGAGCGTTGTCAACAAGGATAAATATATTTATTTCCCAACAGTTTCTGGAGGGGACCTCCCTTCATCAGGGGATGAGTTATATATATATATATATATATATATATATATATATATATATATATATATATATTCAGAAAAAAAGTGTATACCTAAGGGGTCGTTTTTCTGTGTTTTTACACAATATTAATGAGATCTAACAGACAATAATGCCAAGGAATGTATAGGGGAAGATATCAGACGAAATTGTAATGTAAATATAAAGAAAAATTGGTGAAAAGATAACTTCCCGTGGGCAGGATCCGAACCTGCGCCCTTCGAATGACGCGTTCGATGCTCTACCGCTGAGCTACCACGGCAGCCATGCCCCCAGCCACTTTTTAAGGCTTTATATGTGGATTAAAGATAAACGTGGGAATGTATATATATATATATATATATATATATATATATATATATATATATATATATATATATATATATATATATATATATATATATATATATATATATATATATATATATATATATATATATAAACTTCCACAATAGTGCAGCATAGGAAAGAAAAACAAAAAACCAGCCGAAACTGTTAGAATTAAATAAATATTTTATTGTTTTGTTTCCTATACTGCACTATTCTCGAAGTTTATAACTTTTATTACGGTAGCTGGAAGAAACTCTGATCATGTATTTCATCTATATATATATATATATATATATATATATATATATATATATATATATATAT